TCCTAATGGAGCGGCCTGCGCCGGCTCGGGGTCGCTCTGGTGCCGTTTGGAGTCTAGCCTGGCGTACTTGTCGTGCTTCGCCACCCAAGAGGAAGAGGAAGGGGTACTTGTCCTTCAGCCAGCCAAACAGCCCCGTGCGCATGCTCGACATCGAGCTCGTGTTGTCGGCGACGGCTGCGACGTACGAGAGGCCGTCGCCGATGCAGTTCTCGACCTCCTTGCCGTAGGTCTCGCCCGAGTGGCGCTTGGCGCCGAACCAGGATGTCTTGAGGTACACGGGGATGCCGACCTTCGCCTTGGAAATGTTCATGACGTGGCGACGCCGTCGATCTTTAAAACCGTCTATGATGACCGTCGCCCTTCCTCGAGTCCCGTGGAACGCGCTCTCCGTACGCTGCTCGACCTCCTCGTGGATGTGGGAGAGCCAGGTAGTCGAGAGTGCGGTACGCTTCGGACAGTGCGGCTCGTACTCGGGCGCAAGCGCTTTGATGAATCGTCTGAACGCCCAGTGGTCCGTAATCACGAAGGGGATGCGGCAAACGAAGAAGAACGTGGAGAGCGCGTAGTGGATCGCCCTCACTTGCCCCGCGGATAGAGCCCTGATGAGCCTGGCCTCGAGCAGAGACGAGCGTGCCCGCCGGTCCTTCTCGACCTGCGGCAGCTGCTCCACCTCCGCAGCCTCGAGCTGCCCCAACTGCTCCTTCTCCTTGTCCTCCTTCTGCTGCTTCTCGGAGTACTCGCGCAGCCACTTCTTGGCCGACGCCGCGGACCTGTCCTTGAGGTACTTCTCCTTGGCGACGTCGTCGATCTGCTCGCACTTGATGATGATCTCCATGAGCTTCGTCTGGTTGATGCGCCCGTACTTGGCGTACCAGGGCTTCCGGTCCGGGCTGGCCTTGAGCTTGTAGTAGGTCCCGGTGTTCTTGCCGGCCGTCAACTTGTTCGGCGTCGTGCGCGTGCGTCGAACCTGATCCATCGGGATGAACACGGCCTCCTCGGTGAAGAATGACAGCGTCGCGCGCGCCTTGGCGCCCTTGAGGTCGTCCTGGCCGCGCCACGGGGCCTCGAGGGCCTGCTTGACATGCGGCGGCACGTGCTCCACGTCGCCGTCGGCGTCCAGCCAGTCGACGAGGTTCGTCGCCATGCTCGACGTGGGGCGCGCGGCTCCGCCGCAGAGGCCCAACAACGAGTGTCGAGCGTGCGGGGGAGGCTGGCAGCGGGCCCGGGTTCCGGAGTCACGCACGGGCAGGTGGCGACGCGCCCCGTCGCTAGTGAGCGACAGCAGCTGCGTGCGCACTTGGGGCGCTGTATGCCGCGGTACTCGGGAACTGATATATATCTCTGGTAATTACTAGTAATTACCGGCGAATTACCACCCCAAGTATTTTTTTGGTAATTTTAGGCGACGCAGCAAACAGCGTAGCAGCACAGATAGCAACCCTAGGAACTCTCCTGTTGAATGGGGACATCACTCAAGCTGACTTCGCGCAACTCAAGGCGTCACTATTGCCGCCCCCGTGAATCATCACGCTCTGAGTCGGGTGCTTTCTCCCATGATGACTGCCTGTTCAACAGGAACACATGGGAGTTTTTAGCGATAACCCGGATCTTATTATACTAGAGTATCGGAATCTACGCTAGTTGCATACTACCCCGAGAGTCGTCTATAGCGAGCAGGTCCTTGTATGCCGCTCGTGCGAGCGAACCTGCCATCGCGAGTCCAAAATCAGCACTCTCGCGAGCCACTACACTGGGCGCGTCTACGAGGGGTAGCCTAGAACCGCCCACCTGCTCTCGCTAACATATCCCGCCGGATCCCACCAAATAACTACCGTTTTTGCTTGTTATAAACTTGTTTACATGTGGTTTCCTCTATGAATGATTATTTTTCATTCTATTGTTTTCTTTGACAATGAAACAAATGATTATCTTGCCAAATATCTCTCTGCAACACAATTCAATCCATTCATAAAGCATTAGCATATTGACCAAAAATCCAGCGAGGAAAAAGGCTGATTGGATACCTCTCTCTCTATC